CGAAAATGATAATTTAAATGATGAACAAATTTTCTACTCATGAAAGATTAAATTTAACGACTGGACATGGGCCGGCTGTGCGTGCACAGCCAGTAGACCAACTAGTAACTGGAAATATATATTTGCACATCTATCTAATTCTTAGTTCCTAATCATGTACATTACCAAATTTCTAATCTCTGCACGTCGTAAAGTCCAAAAACTGACATCACTACCGCCCTCAATCGAGAAGCTCCAGGCCGCGTGCGACGGTCCATGGTTGCACGCAAATGGGTTACATGGTCGAGTGTGAAGGTTCCACGAAAGCTTCTGGTTGAAGCCTGATGCGCGGGATGCGGGCGACTGGTCTGAGAGGGCCGGATGAAGTCGGACTGCATCTTGTCAGTCGCACGCTGCACGGAGGAGGAGCGAAAAGTCTGAGGTTGTGCGACATCGTCTTACTTGTCTGAAGGCGCGAGGGTGGTTTCGTGTTGCTCGCAAGTCGCCAGTTAAAACTCGGGCTGAACGTGAAAGGACACGGGATATGCGCAAAGAAGAAGATGGACAGATATGAGATTTTGTCCCAGATTAGCTGTCGATGTCTATTTTTGTAACGTGTATATACCAGTGTTTTAAATAACGATATGTATCGGCCGGTATTACCGGTAATACCGAATACCGGTGATCCAACCGGTATGATTACTTTAAAAACACTAGTTTATACCGACTTCATACTGAAAAATACCAGTTTTACCGGTAATATATTTCGTGTATATATCAGTATTTTAAATAACGATATGATTACTTTAAAAATACTCGTTCATCCTATTATCATTATGTGGAACTTCTATATGCAGGGTTTAACATAATAATCTTTCATGAACGCACTCCGGGAACATCATCAAACTGACGCACATGGTGACCGTAAATAGTTTAGTACAATTACCCAAAATATCATGAATGCTGACCCAACTGAATGAATCTCACCTTTAGTGAATCAAAGTAATAGTTATTGAACATACATGTATGTTTATATCATAGGGGTTAAGAAAATGCAGTAATTAACTGAGACTAAGTTTATTTAAGACGATCAATATAAAACAAACTACTACTCTTTGGGATCCTGTTTCAATACATAAATGTACTAGTGCAACTAATCAGTCAAAATCAAGTGTACCTTGACACTAGAACCGTTCTGATAGTTTATTCATTTTCATCTAGGTTGTGAACCAACTATTCTTGTATAGCAAGTAACCGACAAAATGGTCTTCTGTTCACACGCTAATGAATCATTTTATCTAAGTGCAAAGCAACAAAACATTGAACTTTTCTAATCAAACATGATTCTCATTCAACAAAGATAAAGTGTAATATCATGCAAAACCAAATTTTCAATATATAACACCAACATAATCATTTATCTAAATGCAAGACAATAGAACACACAAAACTTAGTTTAATCAAACATAAATTCTCACTCAACATAAATAGTGTAAATAATATCTAAATCCAATCAATTAGTATATACACTAACATCAGAATCCCCCTTAGGTGGAATTTGAGAAATAGGCTTGACCTGAGCTGTTGTGATAGGAGGATAAGGTTTTTCTCCAAGTGGCCCCAAACCAGAGTCTTCTCATGAAGTCCCTCCCACCACGGGTGGTCGAGGTGAAGACCCTCTTCACCTTCATAGTTTTTGGGGGTAATCAAGGACATTATTGATGATAACCTCCCAGTTGATGACCACAGAGAAGCTCGGAGGCTAAGGCATTGGTATGGATATCAAATCGTATATCGTTAAAAGATGTTTAATCCGATTAATCATATATGAAAAATGAAAAACAAATAAAAAATAGTGAATCAAAATATGGTATCTATATATATAATAAGATTTACCATTTTTCAAAAATAGCAGGTCAAACTCTGGTCAAACTCAGTATGCATTTATTACATGCTATTAGTAGCAACTTCTTTTTTTTGTAATGAAAAAATGGATGAAAAATAGATGTTGGGCTAAAAAAGTGGAGAGGTTGTTTATTTTTTTCATTTTTTTTAATGAAAAAATGGATGAGAGATAGATGTTGGGCTAAAAAAGTGGAGAGGTTGTTTATTTAGTTGCACCAGATAGACTTACTTTTTCATTTTCACAAAATCAAAATACTTTTTTGTAACAGAAATCACTCAATTCACCTTTTTTTTGGATAAAAAATATTATGGTTGATTTAATAATAAAAATTTACTTTTTCATTTTCATAAAATCAAAAAACCTTTTTGTAACATAAAATCGTGTACCACTAATTTAATTTTTTTTTTTTTTGATAAAAATAAATTATGGTTGATTTACTAATAACAAATTACTTTTTTTTTATTTTAAAAAAATCGGTAACTTTTTTAATATCAAATCGGCTAATAAAATTGTTTTAAATGGCGGCTATTATTTAAATTACGACTTATTTAATAATCAAAATATAAATAATTAATTTTTTATAATTTTCTATTTCTACCATTAAATATGGCGACTATGTTTTGATTGCGCTTATTCACTTGTTTTGTTTGGCAAATATTTCAAAAAAATAATATAAACCTATGAAAATTATGAAATCGTCAATTTTAATAATCAAAATATATTAAAAAAAAATTCTACCATTAAATCTGGCAGCATTGAATGTTGCCCTTTAAATGTGGAGTTTGTTATCTTTTAGATAATAATTTTGTCTTAATCTCAGTTAGATATAAGATAAATACCATTTTATTTGTAAAATTAATAAATCTGCATATAACGTGTAATTGTATGCCTACAAAATTTCTTTTATGGTAACTAAAAAATAATAATGTTTTGGAAATCTTTTGTACTCAAATTACTTAAAAATAATAATAATAATAATAATAATAATAATAATAATTTTGAAATCTTATGTACTCAAATTTTCAGGTACCGTCGTAATCATGCCAATATTTATTTTATATATACTATGTAAATTTTCTCTCAAAAACTTTATAATGTCCTTATTTAAACTTATAATATTATAGATACTTTTACATAATATTTTATCATGTCATATTATATACATATTAAATTTAAATATTTTTAACAATGTTTTATTTACCAAAAAAAAAAAAAGTTTAGAAAACATCTTTCATGCAAAAAGTGAAAGTTAATATTTTTAGATATGTTTTCTTTCTTAAAAAAGTTATAGGTGATTTCACATCTTTTAATAACACTATAGAAAATTTTAGATATTTTTACATATGTTAATATAATATTTTTAAGTGTTTGTAATATTTTAAACATACAAATTTTATGTTCTCTTGTACAAGCTAATTTCATATTGTCTATAATAAATTGATATACGGTAAATTATATCACATGTTAACGACACATCTTTAATTTGTTTAACATCATCTTTAATTTATAATATATTTTCTTGCTCTTTTAAGAAATGATGGTTTCCCACTTATTCTTTCACTGGGGTGACTCGAACTCCAGACCTATTTATAATTATTATTTAATATTATTTATCCGTGCATCGCACGGGATACGCATTAGTTTAATAAATAAAAAATGAGAATAAATAATATATTTTCTGTATGGTAAAACTTGATTTGAGCAAGATAAAGGACAAAAATAAATACATGTTACAAAACTTTTAAATAAAGTATTTACGTCAAATCCCAAATATAATTCAAAAGCAATAATATATATATATATATATATATATATATATATCAAATTACGAAGCAAAGAATTTTATATGTTGACATCCAAAACGTGCGAGCGTGCCACTTTGACAATGTTTTGCACTAATATACAGGGGACACTTTTATTTCATAGTTTTTAAATTTATTTTTTATTGTGACAAAAAGAATTAAATATATAACTCTTACAATATTATGTTATTAAATATAATATAAAAGATAAATATAAAAATTATTTATCTAAAGATTATTTTATAGCAACACATTAATCAAGATAGTAAATTTTAACGATTATTTTGAATGAACAATTTCATGAATCAATATAATAATTTTTTTCGAAACGATAACTCCATATAAAAAATACATAAATACATTTAAAAATCAGCCAAGAGTCGAATCTAGTCGGAGGACATTCCAAACAGAGCCTAGACTACCACAACTCACCCACAATAACATAAAAACACAGACTCCCAACAGGAGAATACACAGAACAGACTCCCATAGGAGAATACACTGATCCCAACGGGAAAAAAAACCAAACACAGCGAAACGCGTAAAAAACACAACCTACACCCAAAAACAACCTAACAACAAAAGAGTTATAGCCCTTCCTACAGACTGACAACGCACCAAGCAAACCACGACCATGACACAAAGCCAACCGCCTATACGGACCGCATCTCACCCATAGTCTTAGAACCAGAAACTACAACGCGGGCCTAACTGGAACTAAAACCCATGAACTCGAACCAAATGTCCAAGCGACAAACCTCACCCCTAAGCTGAAGGAATATGCCGGACAAAAACCCGACCACAAAGCCACCGACCTGAACCCAACCCACACCATGGGCCCAACTCGTCTCGCCGGTCGTTCCTTCAGCCCACGCACCAGGGGCAAAAGGGACAGAGGGTTGAGTCGACCCACCTCAGACCCAACCACCAAAAAGGTCGTCAGGCTCACCACCCAACCCCTCAGCACTACCGTCGCTACACCACCCGGGAGCTCGACGACCAGCGGCTCAAAAGGCAACCAAGGAAGCGGCGTAGACTTTTCAGATCCATCCATGATCCATCCAACCCACCCGGGACGAAAGGAACTACACCAACAAATAAAGGGTTAACTCGCACAGCCAAAGGGGTTAGATGGAATAATATAATTGTTACATACTCAA